GTACCAGACTGGCATTGAGATCTTATCATTTGACAGTTTTGAGTTTCATGCACATGGCAATCATACCACTAAGACTCAAGGTGTAATACACACACACATATATATATATATATATATATATATATATATATATATATTCCCTAGGGGTTGAGTCTGTGTCTCACTTTGTAAGGGATATGACTTTATGATCCTGTGCACTTTACCTCTTGGCCATGTAGAACAATACAGCAAACAAAAGTTCTATATTCCTTTTTTCAGGAAATCAAATCTTTATCCACCAGATTTTTTTTCAAGAAAGCTTCATATCTGATCAGTTTCATATCCAAAATGTAAACAAAGCAATTTCTGAAGCATTAATGGATTTATTTTTAATCCAAGATTTTTCTGATAGTAGATGTAGTAATCATAATTATTCAGTGGTGAATAAAAAGAAATTTCAGTGTGTATTTGGACTTAGTGGAAACAGGGTGAGCAATAACTGAGAAGTACTAAATAAGGACTAGATAAGAGATCCTTGGACATGGGCAGTGGAATGGGAACAATTTGATGACATAGTAATTCAATCTCTGGTCTGAGTAGTATGTATTTGAACTCAGTGGAAACAGGGTGAGCAATAACTGAGAAGTAATAAATAAGAACTAGATGAGAGATACTTGGACATGGGCAGTTGTGTGAGAACAGTCTACTCCCATGGATTTAATAAAGGGTTTAGTTCAGTATTCTCTGTAGGTTACATTTGATGAAGGCCGGTGGGCACAACAACTGAAGCATTGTGGTAACAACAAAAAGATGTAAATAATGTAAATAAGAATGTCATTTGTTTCATTAATATTCAATAATTAACAGAACGTAAACAAGAAAATGCAAAAGTGATTCAATAGTAGTTGCTGGTTTCGGTTCTACCAAACCAAAACAAAAACAAATAACTCAGAAAAGAAACTATCTGTAAAAGAAATATGGCTTCCAAAAATCTGGGCACTACTTCTGACCCTGTATTTTACTAAGCAAATGCAAAGTTTCTTAAACAGTTCTATCATCTTTTGATAATAAGAATAAATGATTACTGTCTGAATTTTTAAAATGGTTAGTTATCATTTGTTGTTGGTGGAACTAATTGCTGAGTATTAGGGTGCTCATTGACATTTCCTTCTGTGTAAAATGAGTCCTATGTTGGATTTGAAGAGACATCCGCAGCCACCGTATGGTAGGGTAGAAGGGTTCAGGTGTTTGAGAGATCTGGCTTTTCTTTGGGCTCTTTTCTGTGTTCTGGTGTTTTTGAGTGTTGTTTTTTTTTTTTTATGGACTGCTCTTCTCCAATGGGTTCTTTGAACATGAGAAGAAAAATGTCTTTGAGCATGAAAGCTTTGGCTGCAAAATGTTTCAGGTGGTCCCTGTGTCACCACTCCATTGCACACACACTTCAGCTGACACAATCTGTTTCGGCAAATCAGGGCTTGACAGGCAGTTTCATGATGACAACTTGCATCAGGCTGCTGACTTTTTCTCATATATAGAACATTGCCTTGACCACCTACCCACTGGGTACCAGGTTTTGCTTAGTCTAGTTCCTTCGCTAAATCCTTACCACAATGGAGGACTCTACCAAGAGATGGAGCTCCTGATGACATTGCATTCTGGTTTCTAGTAGCACACAAGCTCCTCCACTAGAGCACACTACATACATTATGCGTTTTAGAAGCTCAAAAAAATTAACGTTTTTTTTTTTTTTTATGTATGTAAACCGTTAGAAAGCAAGCCAAAATACAAGTATATAAATAAACACACAAGTATTGAAAAGTTTCTTCATTTTAGAATCATATAGCAGAAACTAAAAAATGAAAATATAAATCAGGATTTAAGACTAAAATATTTGTAGATTATGATGTCATTATACAATAAAAATTTATACTACCATTTTGACAGTACTGACACCTAAAGTATCAGTTGATAAAAAATGAACGAGAATAGAAAATGCCAAGTTGATAAATATAGCTTCAGGTAAACAAAAATGGAAAGTAAAAATAAGACAAATGATCATCAGGTGAGTTGTATAAAAACAAATACTAATACAAAAAAATCCGGTCTCTGGAAAAAGTTAAAAGAAATAATAATAATAATAATAATAAACAATTCATAGACACTTCAAACAGTTATAATAATCATAAGATATATAATAAATGAAATAAAATAAATAATAATTAAAAATTATATTAAATTATTATATTAAATTGTATTATTATAATTGTATATATTATTATATATTATGTTATTATTATATTATTATATATATAAATTATATATTATTATAATTGTATATTACAGTGTAACCTAGATATGAGAGAGTTGTCAGGACCGGAGAAGAAGTCTCTTATATCCGGGTTTGGTCTATTTTATATACATTAACACAGGCTCTAATTTGGGACCAGATAAAATCTCTCTATATCCGGGTTTCTCTTATATCCGGGTTTGGTCTATTTTTATATACATTAACACAGGCTCTAATTTGGGACCAGATAAAATCTCTCTTATATCCGGGTTTCTTATATCCGGGTTTGGTCTTTTATATACATTAACACAGGCTCTAATTTGGGACCAGAGAAAATCTCTTATATCCGGGTTTCTCTTATATCCGGGTTTGGTCTATTTTATATACATTAACACAGGCTCTAATTTGGGACCAGAGAAAATCTCTTATATCCGGGTTTCTCTTATATCCGGGTTTGGTCTATTTTATATACATTAACACAGGCTCTAATTTGGGACCAGATAAAATCTCTCTTATATCCGGGTTTCTCTTATATCCGGGTTTGGTCTATTTTATATACATTAACACAGGCTCTAATTTGGGACCAGAGAAAATCTCTCTTATATCCGGGTTACACTGTATTATATATTATGTTATTATTATATTATTATATATATAAATTATATATTATTATAATTGTATATTATTATATATTATGTTGTTATTTTATTATTATATATATTATATATAGAAATTATATATTATTATAATAAATATTATATATATATATATATATATATATATATATATAATTAATTAATATATATATATTTTTATATATTATTATATATAGAAATTATATATTATTATAATTAATATTATTATATATTATGATATATATTAATTATATATTATTTTATTAAATTACTTTCAGCAATATTTACATTTTTCAGTTAAACTTAAGATCCATTAATTTTTTGAAACTTCAAAAAACGGCATCATCTTTTCTTGAGTATTTGTCTACATTTCTGAGATGAGGTATTATGTACACTATTTACATTATTCGGACTATTGTCCTCATCTTTGTCGCCATATTTATTACGTTTCGGCTGTTGTATGCTCCGACCTTCTTCAGGTGGTTGGAATGTCGAACTGAACCCTTTACTTCGCTCACTGGGGTAGACTGTTCTAGTTCCACATGCCATGTTTAATAAATGTCAGTTATCAGTTATCTCCAGTTAATTTCCCTCTGAAAGTTCTCCACTGCCTTAACTGGGTATTGAACTCACACTCTTTGGATCCTGTCACTGGATCTAACCAACGCCTTTATCCTTGAGGACATCTGTGTATGAATTTCTGGGTATTATAAACCTAATGTCTTCAGCACACATTTTTTTACCAGTGCTCGTATTGCAATTTTTGCTGTTATCATTTTATGTTTTTACCAGAGGTTATATTCTTAAGTTCAGAATGCACAATCACACATCTTGAGTTAGCTTTTTTTTTTGTTGATAGTATCCACCTTAATACATTGCTCAAGAGCCACTCGAGGTAGAAGGTTACTAAATGAAGTGTATTATATGAATGTAAGAGTAGGAAGTGAAGACTATGTAGATATGGAAGTTAATTATTGACTCTTGACTGGAAAAGATCAACATTATATTGAACTATCCACATAGGCATCTGTTTGACAAAGCAGCAGTTCGTAGGAAAAAGCAGTCTGAGTGGAACTTTCTTGTTACAATTGGAATGGCAATCATTCAACCTGGTGGACACAGCATGGTGGGTCTTTGATGCAAATGTTCGAATTATTAGTGGAAGTAACAAATGAAACTTATCCGAGCATTTGCCATGGCAATAATGACAGATTTGCAACAGTTTTATGATATGGCGTCTGTAATAAAAAGTCTACAGGGTTGAAAATTTGTCAAAGACAAGGTCACATAAATGACTTAGGATTCTGACAAGGCCGGAAAGTGAGGGTTGTGCAGCTCCAGCCCTGATATATCAGCAATCTTACTAGGAAAAAGTCAGTACAAGCTAAATAATTTTTTGCGTATAGAAAGTTTGGACAGATAGTATTATTTGTGTCTACCTGCCTCTTGCGTATATCCTCATTTATTGCTTCAAGTTTGTTTTAATGTTCAGTTCAGCTAATTTGTTTAGCTGAATCTTATCTTGGGGGCTTTTTGAAAATTGACAATAAACTTCTATTCAAGATATTTTCATTTCATCATAACTATTATTTTGTCTGTGTAACAATGTCAACATGGCATTATTGTGAAATTGTTTTCCTGTTTCTTTTTGTTTCTATGCTTGTTTCTGCAAAGATTGGTTTGGAATAAGTCTGGTGGCAATGCTATGGGTCTTGGATTTCTCTTTAGAGGAAGAATAGTTTTTATTTGGTTGCTGGCATATGTGGTGATGTTTGGACACAATGAAACCTGCAAAGCATCTCTTTTATATAAATACTCAAATAACTCAAAAACAATTGTGGAAATATAAGACTCTAGATATTTTTTTTTCAAAGCCATGTCTTTAAATCTTTACCTGCAGTAGCCATGAAAATGGCTATAAAATATTCATTGAAATTTCCCCATTGCATTGTTAGATTCTTGACCTTAACAGTTTTAACAAAATATGGCAAAGACAATAAGTACAAATGCAGGTACTTATTTAAAGGTGAAGAGGGTACAAATGAAAAGAATCAAAATTGACAAGGTTTTCTATTTCAATGAAGTATCCAGAAGCGTGAATGTTATTGCTTTCTTTCCTTTCTTTCTCTCTTTCTTTTCTTTCCTTACTTTCCTCCCCTCTCTCCATTTCTTTCTTTCATTCCTTCCCTCCCTTTCTTTCTTTCCTTCCTTCCCTCCCTCTCTTTCTTTCCTTTCTTTCCTTTCTTCCTTCCCTCTCTTTCTTTTTCCTTTCTTCCTTCCCTCTCTTTCTTTTTTCCTTTCTTCCTTCCCTCTCTTTCTTTCTTCCTTTCTTCCTTCCCTCTCTTTCTTTCTTCCTTCCCTCTCTTTCTTTCTTCCTTCCCTCTCTTTCTTTCTTCCTTCCCTCTCTTTCTTCTTCTTCCTTCCCTTTCTTTCTTTTTCCTTCCTTTCTTTCTTTTTTCCTTTCCTTTCTTCCTTCCCTTTCTTTCTTTTTTCCTTTCCTTTCTTCCTTCCCTTTCTTTCTTTTTTCCTTTCTTCCTTCCCTTTCTTTCTTTTTTCCTTTCTTCCTTCCCTTTCTTTCTTTTTTCCTTTCTTCCTTCCCTTTCTTTCTTTTTTCCGTTCTTCCTTCCCTTTCTTTCTTTTTTCCTTTCTTACTTCCCTTTCTTTCTTTTTTCCTTTCTTACTTCCCTTTCTTTCTTTTTTCCTTTCTTCCCTCCCTCTCTTTCTTTCCTTTCTTCCCTCCCTCTCTTTCTTTCCTTTCTTCCCTCCCTCTCTTTCTTTCCTTTCTTCCCTCCCTCTCTTTCTTTCTTTCCTTTTTTCCCTCCCTTTCTTACTTTCTTTCCTTTCTTCCCTCCCTTTCTTACTTTCTTTCCTTTCTTCCTTCCCTTTCTTTCTTTTTTCCTTTCTTCCTTCCCTTTCTTCCTTCCCTTTCTTTCTTTTTTCCTTTCTTCCTTCCCTTTCTTTCTTTTTTCCTTTCTTCCTTCCCTTTCTTTCTTTTTTCCTTTCTTCCCTCCCTTTCTTTCTTTCCTTTCTTCCCACTCTCTCTTTCTTTCCTTTCTTCCCACCCTTTCTTTCCTTCCCTCCCTTCTTTCTTCCTCCCTCCCTTTCTTCCCTCCTTTCTTTCCACTCTTTCTTTCCTTTCTTCCCTCCCTCCCTTTCTTTCTTTCCTTTCTTTCTTTCTTTCCTTTCTTCCCTCCTTTCTTTCCTTTCTTCCCTCCCTTTCTTTCCTTTCTTCCCTCCCTTTCTTTCCTTTCTTCCCTCCCTTTCTTTCCTTTCTTCCCTCCCTTTCTTTCCTTTCTTCCCTCCCTTTTTTATTTCTTTTCCTCACTTTCTTTATTTCTTTCTTTTCTTCTCTCCTCTTCATTCTTCCCTCCTGCCATTTCTTTCTTTCCTTTTTTTTCTTCCTTCCCTTCCCTTTCTTCCTCTTCCAAAAATCAAACTGCACCTCTGATATATCTTTCTCTTTGTTTTCTTTTTCTTTACAATTTCAATTTCAATCAAAACCTGAACAGTCTCATATTTGTCTGAGGTAATTTCAGGATATTTCACACGTGCTAATGCAATTACTAATGAAGAAACAAGCAGAATTCATATTTTCAGTTAATTAAACTTTCATAGCAACTGGAAGAAATTAACTGCAGGCTGAAATATATTATACTAAACAGATTTTACATCATTTTTTAAGCAAGAATTTAGATGACCTCCCCTCCTCACTTCTTGACGGAAAGAAAAACGAAAAATATATTTTAAAGTGTCTTCAAATTTTCTTTTTGTCTTAGAAAGATGTTAAAAATTAACTTTCAGGATATCACAGGAATTGGCTGGTTCTGTTGATGGTGTCAACTTTCAAGATTTGTCTAATAATCAAAACAGAATTATAATTTGTTTGCTTGATAGCTATTTCTTCCTTCAAAATGGAGGGGATAAACCACACGTTGACTCCAAAGACAATTTAAGTTAACACCTTTACATATAGACATTGGGGAAATTTAATGAATAGGTTTCAGTTATTATTCTCCACATAGATTGATAGGCATTTATCAGTCTCTATGATTGACTAGGGAGTGCTGTAAAATTATCTGCCCAGCCTACTTTTTGAATTCTGAATAAAGGACCAGATTTAAGAAATTTTGTCAGGAGGACATCTTGGTCAAGCCCATAACTTTTAAGCATCTCCTTGCATATTAATTTTTCTCTCTCTCTCTCTCTGACTGACTCATCATGATTCAGTTTTCTCTATCTTTTACTGAAATGTAGTGCTCCAATTTTCTCTCTCTCTCTCTCTGACCAACTTATAGTGCTCCAGTCCTTTTTGTTTCTCTCTCTCTCTCTAACAGCTCTAATTCTCATTCTCTCTCTCTCTCTCTCTCTCTCTCTCTCTAATGAACTTATAGTGATCCAGTCCTTTTTGTATCTGTCTTTTTCTCCCCAACCAACTTGGCATATTCCAATTCTCTCTCTCTCTCTCTCTAACAGACTTGTCATGCTCTAGTTCTCATTCTCTCTCTAACAGGCTTGTCATGCTCTAGTTCTCATTCTCTCTCTAGCAGACTTGTCATGCTCTAGTTCTCATTCTCTAACAGACTTGTCATGCTCTAGTTCTCATTCTCTCTAAAACAGACTTGTCATGCTCTAGTTCTCATTCTCTCTAAAACAGACTTGTCATGCTCTAGTTCTCATTCTCTAACAGACTTGTCATGCTCTAGTTCTCATTCTCTCTAAAACAGACTTGTCATGCTCTAGTTCACATTCTCTAACAGACTTGTCATGCTCTAGTTCTCATTCTCTCTAAAACAGACTTGTCATGCTCTAGTTCTCATTCTCTAACAGACTTGTCATGCTCTAGTTCTCATTCTCTCTAAAACAGACTTGTCATGCTCTAGTTCTCATTCTCTAACAGACTTGTCATGCTCTAGTTCTCATTCTCTCTAAAACAGACTTGTCATGCTCTAGTTCTCATACTCTAACAGACTTGTCATGCTCTAGTTCTCATTCTCTCTCCTAAAACAGACTTGTCATTCTCTAGTTCTCATTCTCTAACAGACTTGTCATGCTCTAGTTCTCATTCTCTCTAAAACAGACTTGTCATGCTCTAGTTCTCATTCTCTCAGACTAAAAAACAGACTTGTCATGCTCTAGTTCTCATTCTCTAACAGACTTGTCATACTCTAGTTCTCATTCTCTCTAAAACAGACTTGTCATGCTCTAGTTCTCATTCTCTAACAGACTTGTCATGCTCTAGTTCTCATTCTCTCTAAAACAGACTTGTCATGCTCTAGTTCTCATACTCTAACAGATTTGTCATGCTCTAGTTCTCATTCTCTCTAAAACAGACTTGTCATGCTCTAGTTCTCATTCTCTAACAGACTTGTCATACTCTAGTTCTCATTCTCTCTAAAACAGACTTGTCATGCTCTAGTTCTCATTCTCTCTAAAACAGACTTGTCATGCTCTAGTTCTCATTCTCTAACAGACTTGTCATGCTCTAGTTCTCATTCTCTCTAAAACAGACTTGTCATGCTCTAGTTCTCATTCTCTCTAAAACAGACTTGTCATGCTCTAGTTTTCATTCTCTCTAAAACAGACTTGTCATGCTCTAGTTCTCATTCTCTCTAAAACAGACTTGTCATGCTCTAGTTCTCATTCTCTCTAAAACAGACTTGTCATGCTCTAGTTCTCATTCTCTCTCTCCTAAAACAGACTTGTCATGCTCTAGTTCTCATTCTCTCTATAACAGACTTGTCATGCTCTAGTTCTCATTCTCTCTCTAACAGACTTGTCATGCTCTAGTTCTCATTCTCTCTCTAACAGACTTGTCATGCTCTAGTTCTCATTCTCTCTCTCTAACAGACTTGTCATGCTCTAGTTCTCATTCTCTCTCTCTCTCTCTAACAGACTTGTCATGCTCTAGTTCTCATTCTCTCTCTCTCTAACAGACTTGTCATGCTCTAGTTCTCATTCTCTCTCTCTCTAACAGACTTGTCATGCTCTAGTTCTCATTCTCTCTCTCTCTAACAGACTTGTCATGCTCTAGTTCTCATTCTCTCTAAAACAGACTTGTCATGCTCTCGTTCTCATTCTCTCTCTCTAACCAACTTATAGTGCTCTCGTTCTCATTCTCTCTCTCTCTAACCAACTTATAGTGCTCTAGTTCTCATTCTCTCTCTAACAGACTTGTCATGCTCTAGTTCTCATTCTCTAACAGACTTGTCATGCTCTAGTTCTCATTCTCTCTCTAACAGACCTGTCATGCTCTAGTTCTCATTCTCTCTCTAACAGACCTGTCATGCTCTAGTTCTCATTCTCTCTCTCTAACAGACTTGTCATGCTCGTTCTCATTCTCTCTCTAACAGACTTGTCATGCTCTAGTTCTCATTCTCTCTCTAACAGACTTGTCATGCTCTAGTTCTCATTCTCTCTCTAACAGACTTGTCATGCTCTAGTTCTCATTCTCTCTCTAACAGACTTGTCATGCTCTAGTTCTCATTCTCTCTCTAACAGACTTGTCATGCTCTAGTTCTCATTCTCTCTCTAACAGACTTGTCATGCTCTAGTTCTCATTCTCTCTAAAACAGACTTGTCATGCTCTAGTTCTCATTCTCTCTAAAACAGACTTGTCATGCTCTAGTTCTCATTCTCTCTAAAACAGACTTGTCATGCTCTAGTTCTCATTCTCTCTCTAACAGACTTGTCATGCTCTAGTTCTCATTCTCTCTCTAACAGACTTGTCATGCTCTAGTTCTCATTCTCTCTCTAACAGACTTGTCATGCTCTAGTTCTCATTCTCTCTCTCTCTCTCTAACAGACTTGTCATGCTCTAGTTCTCATTCTCTCTCTCTCTAACAGACTTGTCATGCTCTCGTTCTCATTCTCTCTCTCTAACCAACTTATAGTGCTCTCGTTCTCATTCTCTCTCTCTCTAACCAACTTATAGTGCTCTAGTTCTCATTCTCTCTCTAACAGACTTGTCATGCTCTAGTTCTCATTCTCTAACAGACTTGTCATGCTCTAGTTCTCATTCTCTCTCTAACAGACCTGTCATGCTCTAGTTCTCATTCTCTCTCTAACAGACCTGTCATGCTCTAGTTCTCATTCTCTCTCTCTAAGACTTGTCATGCTCGTTCTCATTCTCTCTCTAACAGACTTGTCATGCTCTAGTTCTCATTCTCTCTAAAACAGACTTGTCATGCTCTAGTTCTCATTCTCTCTCTAACAGACTTGTCATGCTCTAGTTCTCATTGGCTCATTCGCTTGCTTAAACTCAACGTTGATTCTGATTCCACAGAACTGGTTTGGGTGTGAAAAATTATTTGTTGTTAACATTCTTTTTTCCTTTGGTTTTTCCAGTTACGAGTCCTTTTTTTAAAGCTGATCGTTTTGTGTTCATTTTGTTTAGTTCTTTTTTCATGACAGATTTAATGTTTAGTATAGAGCTTAGAAAAAATTCGCAGTGTGAGATAGGCAAGAAGTAAGGCATGTAGCAACATCAGCACAACAAAGGGCATTCCTTTAAAAAGGCAAGGAAGGGCAAAAATATTTTAAGTCAAGTGATAGCGATTGCTGTATGAGTTGTACGATTTTTGAATCAAGCACGGGCAACGCTGGGCCATGATGCTAGTGATGGTATATTTTCTTGTGTACCTGCCTTGGAAAAATGCTGTTCAATTGGAACTTAGTGTTATGCTGATAATGTTATATCCGACTCCATACATCCATTTTTCTCTTTGACATTTCCTGGTCAGGCAAGAGAAATAAATTAACTAAGACTTCTCTCGGCATTCTGCAGTAAGTGTGCTAACGGGGAAAACTCAGTGTGTCTGCCTCTTTGATGTCTTGTACCCTTCAGTTGACTGAAGATGATCACCTGATGCTTTTAAATTAGAGAGTTTTGGCCATTTGGCCACCAAATAGATAAACACAAGTTTGAATTCAAAACTTCAGCAGCCATTTGCACTGGTTTCATCCAGTTGTCTGCTGTTCAGAGATTGCTAAATCATGAAAGAAAAAACTGATTGCAAGCCAGATGCAGCAGGACATCAATTTTACAGTGAAATATTTGTAAAATCTACTCTCCAGTAATGGAATACTGGATTCCCTGGTTATATTTTGTTATATTCCATACTAATAGGAATATATACATGACAAACAAGATGGATAAAATAAGTAAAGGTTTATTGTAAAAACCAATACAATAAGAATAAAGGTAACAGTTATGCACAAAGTTGTCGCAAGTCAATCCAGTAGTGAGTGCTACTATTGGAAGGTTGGTAGTTCTTGTGTAAGTCTGAGTCATACTCAACAGATCCCAGCTAGTATATTTAGCTACACCCCCCAACGAGAGTTGCATGTGGCACAAGGTTGGTTTAACATGGTTTGTCTGAGCCCCTTTTGAACCCGCATAAACGGGTTTAGGGGTAGTCTACCTCCCCAAATAGACTCTGCCCTTCCAGGTTCCTCTCTACCCAAAGGCAGAGAGTTCGACTGTTAAGCTGGAATAGATCCTAGCTAGTCTCCATAGTCCGTCGACTTACAGCTACTTATAGGTAGTTACTACTTATAGTATAGTCACTCATGGGGGTGACAGGTTATTCCATTATATCATATTTGTTAAGTCTCTCTCTCTGGAAGAGTTCATTATTTAGAGTAGACGAGTTGACCTATCTCCATGTAGTGGACTCCTCTGATGACAGCAGAAATACTGCAATGTTTCTGCTACTAATATTGTTTTAAAGGGACTTTTAAATTGTGAATGGCTCTGTAGATATATAAAATTTTAAAGTAAAATATATTTCAGTATACGTGTGTATTAAAAATTAATCTTGTCTATTATAATTGGTTTCGTTTATTGCATGGGGACACTGCAGAGGACAGTTGTTATATTTGCCTAGTATTTCAGTTTAATATTCTGAAAGTATTGAACGTAAACAAGAAAATGCAGAGCAGTGTAAAATGTTTGATGTTATATAAGTATAATTAAATTGCAAAATTATTTAAATATGCCATTATTTTTTATAGCGCAGGTGAACTAGTGCTGATCATAAATTAAAATGCTGTTGAATTGCATTTGAACAGTTCAGTTTGCTGATCAACAGCAAAATATCAAACTTGATAAATTCTAGTGTAAACGGTTCTTTGTTATTGCTGTTGTACCGAGAAAACTATAATGATAATAAAAACAACGTTAAGCTATTCTTTCAACTCTCCAAAATAACTAAAGGTTTGTAAGGAGAAAATATGTTGCATTAAAAATTTGAAAACTTTCTGTTCACCAAACCTAGTTTTCAGCTTAAATATTCAGAACCCTGTCACCAGGATGAAACAAGATAAGACAGTATCCCAAACTTCTCTTCATTAATCATCTCTTTGGCTGCCATTAGCATGACTGATGCTAACCTCCAGGAGAGTGGCTCATTGCCCTTTCTCGGGCAAACGTTCTCAGCTGACAATTAGAAAGACTATATTGAATCCATTGCTAGGTCAACTGCTAAAAAAGTTGGTTCACTGTGTCAGGCAAGACAATTTTTTTTCACCAGAATCTATCTTGCATTTCTATAAGTCGACCATTGATCCATAGATTAGAATAATACTGCCACATATGGTTTGGTGCCCTGCTATTTTTCTTAAGCTCCTTAATAAAATCCAAAGAATCAGCAATATTATCAGTCCTGATCTGGCAGCTCGGCTTCAGTCACTTTTCCACCACCATAATTGTTCAGATGAGCTCATCACTGTGTTACCTAGACTTCTTGAGTTTAAGCTCAGTACTAAACTGGCATGAAGATTTCATCAATCTACAGTTGAGCTGTAAATTCTATGCTAACAGTTTCTTTTCTCTCACTTCTCGCTTGTGGAAATCCCTTTCAGCTGCATGCTTTCCAGCCAACTTTAATCTGCAAAAATTTAAATACAATGTCGATCACTATCTACTGTTCTCCTGGTTACTCTTTCCTCTTTCTGCTCATTATTAATGTTTCTGTTCCTAATTTTTCCACACCCTGTAACACTTTGCATTTTAGTGTCTTTACTGCTTTGTTTGGGGTGATACCAGTTAAAAAAAAAAAGTTGCATGCTTATCAGTTGTTCTGTAACACCCAACATCAATGATAGAAATTTAAATTTCTGTCAAGTTTATGGCTTATTTGTTGCCAAAATTGATGGTCTTTTTGATCCAATTAATAGAATCCCATTCAATGAAAAAAAATTGCTCCTCCCACTTAAAAAAAAAACAAAAAGAAGAAATTAGGCAGTCATTTAAATTAGCCAGAATTGAATTTGCCAGATATGTCTCTTACAGTTGATGCTGGGAAGAACATAATTTTGATCAAATTGAAATTGACTTGATGAAAAACAAGATGTTAATTTTATTTTTTTAACAAAAAACAGTAATCTGTTGATCCAATAACAGGGCATGTTTATTTACTGCTTGTTCATGCTGTCCAAAATGTTGTAAAAATATTTCCATTTTATTGATATATTAATGAGAGCTTAGGAGATGAAGCTTTTTTATTTGGAAAATACTTGTTAAATTTTTCATTTTAATCTAACAAAGGATCTTTCTTTAACCACTTTGAATTTGATTGATAATTTTCTGTAGATAAATTACTCTGTTCTGCAAAAAAAGAGTAAAAAAAAAAAAAAAAAGTATGAGGGTTGCTGGAAACTTTTCAGCACGACTTTCCCAATATCTGTCCATATAGTTGAATTTAGAACTTTTCAGCACTCTCTTCACACACACATATATAAGTGAACATTGAAGTCAACACTTAGAGGTGACAGACTGTTTCAAGCTAGATGCAATTGTCAGGCCTGATGATTGCATCTAGAATGAAACTGTCTGTCGCCTCTAAGTGTTGACTTCGATGTTCACTTTTATATTTGCATACACTCAATCTTTGATATTGAGCACTTTATTCCATAAATATACCATACCTTAAAACTATATATCTTTATTAAATAAATAAAATAATAATGCATTAAAATATTTCATATATTTTCTGGGAACAGTCTAGATCCTTGTAAATGTTCTGAATATTAACACAAAAAATGTCAGGCTGTAGCCTATAAAATCTTGTTTAAATGTCCTTAATAAACAATAAGAAAACAAAGAAAAAGTACAGGGTAAAATAATACTAAGCAAACAATATATATGCAAGTCAAATCTAGGCAAAGTTACTATAATGAGGCAAATCCACCATTCAGCCATGTTTAGAATTTTGCTGCCATATTCAATTGCTATCTGCTGTCCTCCTGATTACTCTTCTTTTGTTCTGGCTCTTTGGTAATGTTCCTGTTTCCTAATTCTTCCACACATAGTAATCCCTTGTGTCTCAGTGGCTTTAATACCTTGCTTGGAGTGAACTTGTTAAAAAAAAAAAAAGTTCACAATGAAAGAATTGTGTTCACATGTAAAAGGTATACAGTCAAATGATTGAAACGTTCTGGCATCAAGATGAGAAAGAAAAAAAAATATGATGGATGAAACCAAGTTGGGATTCATTTTTATTGGTTACAAAAAAAAAAAAAACTCCCAACATTTTTCCATAAATTTGGGGAGGGTGATGTTTTTAGCAGTCATTCCTAGGGTTGCAAGCTTTCTGTTTTGTATAATCGCTTTTTCAGGTATCTGAGAATTAGACTATGACAGAGTAGTAAATCCATGCATGCTGTACATTTTCTTTATATTGATAATATTCTCCTCAATAGATGAACCATCCTACACATTGCAATTTCACCCCAAGTATGGCAATAAAGCCACTAAGATGCAATGAGTTTATTAGTGTGAAAGAATATGATAAAAAGAAAATTATTAAGAAACAATAATAAAATAGGAATTAAGAAGACAGAAGATAACAATTCACACAGCATTTAAATTTTTAAAGATGTAAGTTGACTGGAGAGCAAGAAGCCAAAAAAGTTCACCAAGTAAGAAGTGCA